GGGAACTTCTGGTAGTTGTGGTTCCTCTCATGTAGACATTCCCTGAAGTGTTCGTCGAGGCAAATAGCGAGATTTATGAGGTCATCCAAGCTGTTAGGTTCATTGTGGCAAGCGATCTGGTCTTTAATGTCATCTGACAAGGAATGTAGGAATGCACCTTGTAATGAAAGCTCGTTCCAGCCAGTTTGGGCAGCGATGACGCGGAACTCAAGGGCGTGTTCTGATACTGGTCGTCGACCCTGGTGTAACCCCAGAAGTTGCTTTACGGCGTTGGCTTGTTGCATAGGCCAGTCGAATATTCTGCAAAATTCTCTCAAGAAAACATCAAATGGAACAGAGTCCAGATCATGAGACAGTAGGAAGGAGCTGGCCCACCTTAGTGCTTCGCCCTTGAGTTGGCTGACAAAGTAAGTGATCTTAGAAACGCTGGATGTGTACAGTTGGGGAGCTCCCTTAAAGGCTAACTTGCATTGAAGAAGAAAACCTCCACAATGCTCAGGGTCTCCAGAAAAGAACTCCGAGGATTTTACCACTAATTGCTGAGCCGTGGGATTGCTCTCAGGGATAAGGGCGGTAGCACCGGACTCTTGGGGAACAACAGGTGCTGCAGAGGATGAAAGTCTTTGATTAATTGAGAACACCATGCCTTCTAATTCTTGCATGTTAGACTGAGTGGTTTGCTGTTGCAACAAAAGGCGTTCAAGAATGCTTTCTAGTTTGTCAATTCACTCTCCCTGAGAAGTGGACGGAGCTTGCTCGCTCCTGGTGTCATTCTGGGTCTTGCTTGGCTGGAGCATTTCTGTAATGATTTCAGGAAACCCAGATTGGTATGAGACCCGAAATGAGACAAGACTCCGCAAGGTAAAATCTTAACAGTGTTTATTATGTACAAGTGAAAATGTTACACGTTGTCCTCAGGAGACCCTGGGAAACAAGGAGAAGGTCAGGTGGGTTGAAGGGAGGGTTGAATCTCGCAGCTGATTGTGTTATATTTTCTCTTACAGGTTTGATGGTTTTGGTTGAGCACCGAGGTGAATCCAAATGGGTCCAGAGAAAGAGATGAATTGGCACGGCAGGAAAGTGGTTGGAGGACCAGGCACAAGGACGACGAACAGTATCAAGGCAGACCAGGACCTGAAGGAATCCAATGAGGCATGATGACTGGAAACGCAGAGAACAAGGTAAATAACTCTTATATATCACAAGACAGGCTGGAAGCATAAGTACCATAGGAAAGCACAATGCTCCAGCAAAGAGTAGAACTTGACTGCTGCCTTAAGTAGTCGAGGACCTCATCAGGGAGATGGACAACAGCTGGTGGCAATTAGCAGCCATCTTGGAGAGAGGAGATGCAGTCAGTAGTACTCTTACAAACAGCCACTTACAAGCATAAAGAGCTGCCCTTTCAAGTAGCTTTTCCGTGTCTACTCTTAAAATAATCTCAGTCCCTAAAAGAGTGGTGGGGGTTAGTGCCAAACGAGCTAGTCAGGCAGTCGTTCGAGGGCATCAGCCCACAGGCAGCAGCCATGATCAGACAGAGGAGGCACCTGGAGCTTTCACATTGTAGGGTTTTTGTCCTGTCTCTGTCTGTTTCCTCATGTTTTCTGTTCAGCTCTGTTTTTCCTCCTTGTGTTCAGCCCCTGTCTCACCTGTGTTTCATGTTAATCACTGCAGGTGTCTGTCGTTGTCCCAATCAGTGTCTGTGTATATATTCAGTTCCTCTGCATCTTGTCTTTGTCTCCGGATTGTCCTTCAATTGTGTCTTGGTTTGCCTCCCGTCATGTCTGCTTTGATCTGTTCTCAGTACCAGTAAGTGGCTGCCCTGTCAGCCTTTTGATTTTGTTTTTTGAGAATAAATATTTAGATTTTTTTTACCTCGAGCCTCCTTGTCATCTTCCTGCACTTGGGTTCAACACTCCTGACGGCAGATCCTGACAGAATCCCGAGACCATTACTGAACCCAGCAGGAAGATGATAACTTTGTTTGAGTTTTTGGTCCGTGAGGTGGATAAAATCGCTCAACGAGACAGAGAAAAGGAGGAGAGAAAGAAAAATCCATTTTTCGGGGCCCGCCTGGCCATTAAACCCGGGTCCTCATCCTTTACGTCTCACTCCTCCTAATCTGCTCGTCACGCTGCTGCACTCCGCTGCCCACCACCTCCTCGTTCTCCTCCTGGCTGTCCCGCACAATCGTCTGAGAGAGGGGGGCGAACTGCTGGTCCTCCTAGAATCCAGCGCAGGGAGGAGAGAGCTTCACAGGTGAGGGGGAAGCCCAGCCCTCGGTCGCTGGTTGAACGGCGGAAGATTTCACTGGTGGGAGGTACACGTGTCCACGAGAGGAGCGGTCCGGCTCTCTCTTGCTGGAGGAGTGAGGGGGGAGTTCGCTGGGGGATAGGAACCCATGCTCACACTTGCCGGAGGAGCAGTCCAGCCCTCTCTCACTGGAGGAGCTGGAACGGTGGCAGGCTTCTCTGGTGGCGATGTATTTTGGTCCGCCCAGCCACGAGGAGGTCCACGCAGACACTCCTCCATCTCCTGCTGCAGCTCTTTCTCTGCCACCTGCTGCAGCAGCCCAAACTCCACCACCTGCTGCAGCAGCACTGATCCCATCTCCTGCAGCTGCAGCTCCAGACCCTGTCCCTGCAGCTTTGATCCCCGCTTCTGCAGCGATTCCCAGCTCTCCTGCTGCAGTTCTGGTTCCAGTTCCTGACTCTCCGGTTGCAGCTCTGGACCCATCTCCACCGGCTGCAGCCCCGGACTCGGCTCCCAACTCTTCAGCTGCCAGCTGCAGCACTGACTCCTTGCTCTACAGCTGCAGTCCAGTCTCCTGCCTCTTCTACTGCAGTTATGATTCCTGGTCCACCCGAGATCCTCGTTCTCAGCTCTTCTGCTGAGGTCCTCACTCCGGGCTCGTCTCCGGAGGTCCTTGCTCCTGGCTCGTCTCGGGAAGTCCTCGCTCATGGCTCGTCTCCGGAGGTCCTCACTCCTGGCTCATTTCCGGAGGTCCTCACTCCTGGCTCGTCTCCAGAGGTTCTCACTCCTGGCTTGTCTCCGGAGGTCCTCGCTCCTGAGTCTACCACAGAAGATCTTCAGTCTGCAGAGAGCTCAGGGTCCTTGCCTTGCTGCACCCATGGTCAGTCTTTTGACGTCTCTGCTCCTGGCTCGTCTCTGGAGGTCCTCGCTCCAGGCTCGCCTGTGGTCTTCGTCCCCAGCTCGCTTGTGTTCTTCGTTCCCGACCTGCTTGCGGAATTCCTCACCCCTGGTTTGGCACTGGAGGTCCTCATCTACCTGAGTCCGGGCAGGCAGAGATGGACTCCTCTACTACCCAGGAAGGGACGGTCCCCTGGTCACTCACTGAAACCATGGTCTGAGGGTGGATGGTTTCCTGGCTGCCCCCTAATCTCTTGTCTCATTAAGGATGGTCACCTGGTCACCCTCCTGAGTAATGGTCCTGCCCTGAATGTTATCCTGACCGTCCACCTTGACTCTGGGATGGGATCTGGGGTCTTTGTTTTTTGTGTTTCCCAGGGTTTATTCCTGCCGTTTTTTTTGTTCTTTTGGTCCTGTGTCTACTCGTCCTGCCTCCCACCCAAGTTGAATGCAGTTTGTGTTTGGGATGTCATGAGCCATCACTTGAGTGGGGGGTACTGTAGGGTTTTTGTCCCATCTCTGTCTGTTTCCTCACGTTTCTTGTTCAGCTCTGTTTTTCCTCCTTGTATTCAGCCCATCTCACCTGTGTCTCATGTTAATCACTGCAGGTGTCTGTTGTTGTCCCAATCAGTGTCTGTGTATATATTCAGTTCCTCTGCATCTTGTCTTTGTCTCCGAATTGTCTTTCAATGGTGTCTTGGTTTTGCTCCCGTCATGTCTGCTCTGATCTGTTCTCAGTACCAGTAAGTAGCTGCCCTGTCAGCCTTTTGATTTTGTTTTTTTTTTAGAATAAATATTTAGATCTTTTTACCTCAAGCCTCCTTGTCATCTTCCTGCACTTGGGTTCAACACTCCCAACGGCAGATCCTGACACACATGTGGAGTCGGACATCAACGAGCAGGGACAGTGTCTGACTCTGAACCATCAGGTAAAGTGTATGTGTGTGTGTGGGTGTGTGTGTGTGTGTGGGGGGGGGGGGGCTTTGTTGTTAGGATGCATGACAGAAGCAGTTTACAAATGTAGGTAAACGTAGATGTTTAACAACCTGTTAAAATACTCCAAAAATGCAGGAATTTTGCTATTTGCATTCCGGCATAGATCAGTTTACAAATTAAGCCCTGGTCATAAACATTTTCACAAGAGTAAAGATCAAGCTGATGGTGTGATTCTACACAACCATCATTGAGACCATCCTCTGCTCTTCCATCACGGCATGGTATGCCAGGGCCACTGCCACTGCCAGGGACAAGCACAGACTGCAGCGCATTGTATGCTCTGTGGAGAAGGTAATCGGACCAGAACCTTTCTCCATAAGAACAGTTGCTTCCCCTCTGCCGTCGGACTCTTGAATACTCATAATCATTTTACTTTATAACTCTGCTTTAGTCAATTTATCATTGTATTTTAACTGCACTACTACATTTGAATGTTTTTCTGAATATTGCATTGTATTGTATTGTATTGTATTGTATTGTATTGGTGTACATAAGTTTTTCTTTTGTCTTTTATAATTTATTTGCACCTTTTTGCCGAAGCACGTTCCTAGTCTGTGAATCTTGTTCTTTTACAATGGTAATAATAAATTGAATCTGAAAACTACAAAAGTTAGGCAATGTTGTTTAGAATTGTAATATTTTTTCATATGTAAATACAAAAAATGTCACTGTAAACACATAAATCAGGAAACCATTAGAATAACTGTACACCAAAGACTGCATATTTTTCTTTAATATTTTATATTATTCTGTCAAAAAAAAAAACATAACACATTCCCCCAAAATATTGCTGAAATAAGTTTAATCCCAATTACAACATTTCCATCTAACTTGTAAACATTTTGAATTCACTACTAGTTTTTGTTCATTAAATATTTTTTAGAGTTTTTCTCAGGTTGTAGTATTATGATGAAACACTTTGGAGCAAAAATACACAATATCAGTCCAAAACTGGAGGCCAGAATAGCAAATATCTCCACAGCCACAGTAAACTTTCCAGGAGAGCTGACATATGCTGGGATGAAGGTGATCCACACTGCACAGAAGATCAGCATGCTGAAGGTTATCAGCTTGGCTTCATTAAAATTATCAGGTAGTTTTCGAGCTAGAACAGCTAACACAAAGCAAAAAACAGCCAACAGGCCAATGTACCCGAGCACAGCCCAGAAGCCAACAGCAGAGCCTAATGCACATTCCAGGATGATCTTCTCCTTGTATGTAGTCAGATTTTTCTTTGGAAAAGGAGGACTGAGAATCAACCAAACTGTACAAATTAAAACTTGAATAAATGTGAAAAACACTACAGTCATCCTTTGTTGTGGAGGCCCAAACCATTTCATGACATTACTACCTGGCAGTGTAGCTTTGAAGGCCATTAAAACCACTACAGTTTTTCCAAGAACACAGGAGATACAGAGAACAAAGGTGATACCAAAAGCTGTGTGTCGCAGCATGCAGGACCACTCAGAGGGAGCTCCAATGAAAGTTAATGAACATAAAAAACACAGAGTCAGAGAGAAGAGCAGCAGGAAGCTCAGCTCAGAGTTGTTGGCTCTGACAACTGGAGTTGTTCTGTGATGAAAAAAAATAACCCCTGTTATGATGGCTAGACAGGCTCCACTAACAGATAATGCTGCCAGGATGATTGAAAGAACTTCATCAAATGAAAGAAACTCGACAGGTTTGGGGAAACACGCATCTTTTTCCAAATTAGGCCAAAATTCACTGGGACATGAGAAGCAGTCAGTAGAATCTAAAAAAAAAGTAATGACTGTCAGCAACATTTAATTGATAAACATGAATGACATATATTTGCTTACCTGTCATATTACTGATCTCTCCTTCAGGACATGGTATGCAATCATAGCAGCAGATGGGTTTTCCTTTCTGCAACACTTTACGAGTTCCTGGAGGACAACTCTCAGAGCAGACAGAAACCGGTACCTTTTACAGACACAAAGTAAAATATTTTTTAATCTCTATTGCATTTAGGATCATTTTACAAATGTAAAATATGCTGATTATTTCTCATTAGACTCTACTTGTGTTCCGCTCTGTGCCCAGGTTAGATTCCTATTGATGTTAAACTCCTGTCCTTTTGGCAGCGATGCGTCATAGTATCCTACTGTTACCAACTCAGTGGTTCCACTCTCACTCTTCTGCCAGTTGACCAGTTCATAAAAAGCCACGGGATCCCCATTTTGATCAAAGGACACAGGATAACCATTTTGGGAAAAGTTTACCATTTTCAGTGTGGCAACAATCTGAAAAACACCTCGAAAGAAAGAAAGAAAAAAGAGAAGGTGACAAAAACAATGCAAAATGGACTAAGTTTAAGTTATAAAAAATGTATAATCTTTTCATTTATACTGACCTGCTTCAACTCTAACGCAGACTTTTTGTCACACTCAATTATGGATTTTTTTTCCTGACACACTTCATTGTGAATGGCATGAGCTACTGCATAAACAGCCTTGTACACCATGTTAGGAATTCTAAAATCAGATGTTTCAGTGTATGAAATGTTGAGATTTTTTATGTCTTCATTTCCATCACACGCCTTCTTTTTTGCTTCAGCAACTAAAATCAAACAAAAAAAAACAGAGAAAAACATTCTCATGCTTAAAAGATATATGCTAACAATATTCTAAGTTCACATATATTTTTAAATTCAAAATCATAAAAAACGGGCAAACTTGCAAAAACTAAATATGAGATTACTTTCATTGGCATGTCACTGTTTGAATTTTCTAATATAGCAAACATAAAAAAATATACGTAATGAATAGAAAAATTAATAAAAGTTTAAATTTAGAATGTGATCCTTTTTTATAATCCACATATGTAGAAAAAAAAAACTGGTTTCACTGTGTGTTGATTAACACATTTGTTAGTTTTTTGTTAAACAAACCATATTTTGTTAACTTTCTCACTTTTTGTCAGTGTGCAGTTAAATGCATCCTCCCAGAACTCAGTAAGCACCGAGGAGGCCGCTACATCAGTGGGAGAGAGATCCAACAGGAAGTCTCTCAGTCCTGGGATGACAGATTGCTGAATGGCAACTCCAATGGCTCCTGCACAGAAACTGAATTTCATCAAGTTTGGGTCAGTTACCCAGGATTCACTTCCAATCCACTGACGAGGTGGTGGAGGCTTCAGAGCCAGCTCCTCCAGCAGGAACTTCATGTCTCCAGAAGCTACGAATGCCACAACGACCATCGCCGTTGACCTGAAGCAATGATTTATTCAAACAGCCTATATTAAACTCACGTATACAAATTTTCACGTACATAGATAGCCTGTTCACATATGTTTTTATACATTATGAACACTCGCATAGTCACTGATATGCAGGTCTATGTAAATATTACCAGATACACAATAAAAATGTGTGAATTAAAAACCTGCGGATAACATCAGCCACATTCTGGATTTTGATACGTGGGTCAGTTCGGTAGAAGGATTCAGAGTACTCCACACAGATCCCCTCCCTCTGTGCTGCATCAAGAAAAGATGCCATGCCTTTATTTCCATAATCTGAGTCTGAACGGACAGCACCTATCCAAGTCCAGCCAAAGTGTTTCACCAATTTGGCCATAGCATCAGCCTGGACTTTGTCGCTGGGAATTGTTCTGAAAAACGTTGGGTACTGCTGCTTGTCAGACAAACAGGCACAAGTGGCAAAGTGACTCACCTGTTAAAAACAAACAACATAAGTATAATGTAAACTTGTAGCAGAACAAATAAATAATTTTTTTTGTAAATGATAGTTGCAATAAAAGGTCAGAATGTTTACTTGAGGGATATTGAAGGACCCGATGATGCGAGACATGCTGATGGATGGTGTGGATCCAGACTCTCCAACAACAGCCATCACCACACCAGACTGAGAACAATTACTGCCTTTGTAAAACACAGGGTCCAGGCCATTTGACACCTGAAAAGCTACATGAATAGCCACCGGCACAGAGGCGCACGCATCATAGATCTGATATCCAAGTTTGACGCCTGGCAGCAGCTCTGTGCTGTTGTTTATCTCCTCGAGGGCAAAGATCATTGTGCGAGAGAAGCGTAGTTCACGACTGTTAATACTGCGCAAAAACATTTATAATATATCAGTTTTGAAGCTGATGTAGCATAAAGTCATTGAACGTTTTTTTTAAAAAGAAGCACTTTTTCAAGCATGGAGAAAAAGCTGAACGTTAGAGATCAGTTCAAAACATTAAAAGGTACCCAGTGGGGACAAATAGGCAGGTAAAATTTAAGAATTGTGCATAGATATATATTAAATATACATTTTATGAAGAAATAAATACTAATGCAATGCTCAAAAATTGTCTAAACAGTAAAAAAAAAGTTTTTGTAAAGCAGCTAAATACTTTGTATGCCACTTCTACACTGTGCAAATGTAATACGTCGAAACATTTCTTCTCTCAACACTTCTTACTAACCTCCCTGTGCAGCTAGGTGGCTCAGGCATGGTGGTGTAGTTATAAATCTTTGTGTCCTCCTTAAAATGGATGGAAAAAGCCCCCCCAATAGTATAGTCCCCTTCCATAGAGAAAGCAGGTGAACGAGTGGTACCCTGCAGGCTACATTTCAAAGAGGAAGCCCCAGTTGTTACCCTGTCAGCTCCATCTTCAGAGAGTTCAGTCAGTTGTTTGAGACTGTCCACAGACCCACCCAAACCAATAACAGAGTTCATCTCAAACCAGCACATAGCCAGTCTCAGGCCAATGAGGAAAACTGATATCTCCATCCTTCAATTGTCTCCTTGTTGGTATGAGTGTGTGTTTATTGGTATGAGTGTGTGTTTATTGGTTTTTATAGCTCTGTCTTGAAACGTCATTATATGATACAGGATGGAGAACATGTCGTCACCTAAGGGTTTTTAAATTTACTGGTCACATTTGACCCGTTTTGAAATTTGAAAGCACTAAATATCCCTTAAATTACATTTTATTAACTTGAAATTTGCTGACTTCTTAGAAAGTAACTAAACATACTGTACACAAAAAAAATGAAATATTTTAAAATATGCTTTTTTCACAGGTGCTGCAAAAGGTCAGTACGCTAAGGCTATTATGGGTCAAATTTGACCCGTATCTATTAAAATGGATTTTACATTTAGCAGTGTGGGTAATACCCAGGAAAAGGGGGTTTTAGAGCCTCTGTCTGTGTTCCCACTATATTTGCCCAAGTTCCTGCTGAGATAGAAACCTGCTAATCTTTGAAGGGTCGTGATGGAAATCTCAAAACAGTGGAAGAGTAAAGCTGCATAAGAGTGGACATATACTGTCAATGTCAATTTATTTATAAAGCACAAGTCTCAACAGTCTGAAATGTAGAAAAAAACAGCTAGATTACAAGGCAGTGTAAAATACTAAAAACATGAACATGTCTGCATTGTTTCATTGGTGTTAATGTCATACTGCTTTAAATCATAGAACAGTGAGAATTGTTTTTGATTATTATTCCAGCTATCTATCTATTTCCTTTTACCCCCTTTTCCTTCGCAGGTTGCAGGGTTGAGTTGGTGCCTATCTCAAGAGGTCATTGTATGAGAGGACTGGTACACTGTACAGGTCACAAGTCCATCACAAGGCACTGATTCATTTTCCCTAATATTTTTTCCTTTACCTGAAATGTGCTTAAAAAAGAAAGACTAACCAATACTTTCTACAATATAATGCAATACAAAGTATTATCCTGATGCATGCTCAATAATCCTGGTAGAAAAATCCAAAAAAGTTACAATGCAAACAGTTTTGTTTTACAGTTAAACAGTTTTACAATGGGATTGCAAACAATACAAAGTATTTTTTGCAGTCCCATTGTAAACTTAACTGTAATGTGACTTTACTGGGATTATAAGAATCACTGTTTAAAACCGTGGCTCCCAAAATTAGAGTGACGACCCCAGTGTGGGTCATCGAACACTAGGGTGGTAATCTTGAGATCATAGTGATTTAAAAATGACTGCTGATAGCATATTTTTCAATAAATATAATATGAAAAATAAAATGTACAAATGAGCAAAATAAATGTAATGGTCATAAACAAAAATAGTGTTGTCATCTCTTAGATTTATTGAGCCAGTTACCAATGTTTTATGCATCAATCAAAGACTCTAAAAGTTGCAGCTCAGTCACTGTTGTTTTGTTGGTTGTGAGCTGAAAAGTTTAGGAACCAGTGGTTTAAATATCTCTTATATCTTGATAGTTTTAATCATCAATTGTATAATATGTCATTTTCTTTCATTTTTTATTTTCATTGATTCATTCATTTTAGCATATGTTAATGAGTACTGCTTTAAGCTGGGGAAATGTGTCATTGTTTCAGTGTGCATTGCAAAATGAGATGTGACAAATAAAGTTAACAAGCAATATTGAAAGTAAAGCTAAATAAAATTTCAAAACCAGAAGGTGATTAAGTTGAGCAGAATTTGGTTTCATATTTAAAGAATCGGACTTATTGTTCAAAGGACTTGTGCCAGAGTTGGCATGTTTCTGATTCTCTGCACTGAAGTCAAATGGAAAAACAGACTCACACAAATGTATTGCAATGCTGCTATCTGGTGGACATCGTGGTGAAGATTAGACTCTTTCAGAAATTTAATTTCTTGGAATTTTATTGTTACGTTGTTATGCAATCTAAAATGACAAAGAGCTTATGATTAATGTTCTGCTGATTGCTTAAAACAAAAAAGGTATTTTGTGGTACAGTTCTGTCATCACAGCTGTCTTTATTTTTATACAAATGTTCAATTCATAAAGAGGGGAAGGAAAATGATTACAAGCATGAACTTTGTTGTCTGAAACAAGTCATATCATCTAGTACACATTCATATTTTCTGCTATAGTTTAGCAGTAGTTGGAGTATTTATGTGCACAGAGCACCACAATGTTAAAATGGTAAAACTTTGGGGAAGATGAATTCACTGCAGAACTACAAAATAAAGAACAGTAAACTAGAGTCAGAGACGAGTTTTGTACCCTGCATTAGCAACTGGCAAGGCAAAACAGTACAAATAATTTTTTTAAATAAACTTTGATTTTCAAAGAAAACAAAGCTCTGAGGTGAAGTAACCAGATTCTTGAGTTAACCGATAGTTGAGACTGTTTTTACTTGCCAACTCTCTGGCACTGCCAAACAACTCATTATGCTTTTGATGTTTGAATTGTATAATTAACTGGACCCAGAGTGTGAAGATATGGGATTGAAACAAATTGCTAGCAGGTGCTGACAATCAGGCGTCAGTCAGTCACCTGACAGTCTGCACCTGAGGTACCACAAGCTCAAAACAAAAGTCTATAGCAGAATTAACTCTTTGGCATTGTGATTTTACTGATGCTTCCAATTCACAATTAACTCTGCTGCTCAACCCACAAATGAATTTTCCCTTCAAAAGTGGCTAAATTTAAGGGGCAATACGTAGGCTTTCAGAACAGTATACAATTTTAAAATTTGTGTCTAGAAGCATTCCAAACCCCACATGAACATATATATATATATATATTTTTTTAATAATATATCCGTAGGGACATAGGGTACATCACGGTGGTCAC